AAATAAAGCTTGCTAAAAGTTCTTGAACGATGACATTTATCTTCATATGGCTTATATAGAGATAAAATGCCTAACAAAGTTTTTATAAGTATCTTCAGACTTAACCATTAGAGCAAAACAATTGCTATGGCTTACCAAAAAAGTTCTGAAGTTGGAATCTTAGTGCAGATGCCATGGTAACCATGTATAAACATTCCATTTCAAGATAAAATGTTGAGAGCCTCCTTCGCTACAGATGTGGGAAGTGGGGAGCCTGCCATTTCACATTCAAGTGAAGTCTCAGAAGCATCGTCTGAGAATATCTCTAAGTCTACTGTAAACATGGTTACTGAAATGGGTGAAGGTGATTACTCTTTATAATATTATATATATTCTATGAGACGTATTCTAGACGTTTTAGAAAGCAGGCAAAGAAAGGTTTACGATTAAATAAGGCTTACGATTAAATTGAGGCTAGATAGTCACCTGGCTGGGGTCATCTGACCTCGGTCCTCTTTCCTGCCAGGGACAGGGGGTCGGACACGATGATCCATTGTGGTCCCTTCTGACTCTACAATCTATGAAATAGACAGCTTGAATGTACAGGATTAGGGATAAAGTCAACTGAAAGATGATTGAGTGGTGAATTTCTGAAGTTGTCTTGTTCTTTCTAGTATTTGTATGTTCCAGCAATTCTCTACCAAACCCTTCTTTAAAGCAAAGACTAAAGAGACCTCAAAAGAAGTTTGTTTTGAGAAGTAATTTAAAGGGAGGTAACAAAAACACAAGTAATGGATTAAATTAGGGAATAAAAGGTAGTACGGACGAGAGTTTGAGCAGAGAGGAGGGCTCAGTGTAGAGAAATAGGTTTTTAAAAAGTTAGCATTAGAATTTCACTAGAAAAATATGGGATGTTAACTGCTACTTTGTGTCCTCACAGAATTACTTCCAGAACTACACAGATGCTCCCTCAAACTTTTAACTGCACTTGATCTCATTGAGGTGTTATCACCATGCTGTCTCCCAGCACTACCAATGTTGTCCCAATGCAGTGTCAGTTAAGACAAAAAGTATTCATCCAGTGGGCTCAACAATGGCCCAACTTGTTGAGTTTGTTAAGCTTTGTGCAGACCCCTTGCTTGTACAAATTATACTGAGCACATAACTCCATCTGTTTCTCACTTTCTCAGCAGCACCCCTGTCTTTGCAAATTGATTTCAGAGCCCATCATCTTCTGAGCCATCAAATGAGCATGCTGCCAGTTAGCCCAAGGCAGACATCCAGGCACTTGTGACTCAGTTTCAGCTGCACTCTGTAATTATGAAAACTTTGGTCTATGACCACTTTGTCCAGAAGCCTTGCCAAGGGGCATTTCACTTGGTCCAACAAACAATGATGGGTAAAAATAAATGGGCTGGAGGTGTAGTATAGCAAAGATAAGGCTGCCAACAGCTTTGAAGTCTTTTTAACTGGACTCTGCTTTCTACACACACCCATGTAAAGAATTGAGGTTATGACTGGGCAAATGTAGTGAATGTGAAGGTAAGCTGCAGTGAAAAAAGGGAAGGCATATGGGAGTAAAAGAAAACTCAGAACTTCATCTTAGGTATAAATAAGCCTTTTCTTCTCCTCACAGAGATGGGAATGCTTGAAATGCCATGTCTACCATGGTTGCACATCAGGGAAATATTGAACTTTATATTTTGTTTCACAAAAACTATTATGGCACAACACATTTTGTCAGCAACAAGAACCCATATGAATGTTCTGTGCCTGACATTTACTTCTAATCTAAACTGTTGTTTCATGCAGTGTCCTCATTTTAAATGAGGAGCTTGAAGCTCTTTTCAGAAGCTCAATATTTCTGTTTTTTACAGTTCACATGAATTAGCAAATGTGAAGCTTCCACGAATACATTTGAATAATATCAGGGAAGTTGGTAGATGTTTTGTCACCACATTCGTAATCTATTACAGCTGTATAAAACGGTTTGCCAACAAGTATGAGTGTCTTCCAACACTGGGATTCCCATGGTAGCTGGAAAATGCCATTATCCAGGACACTATGCAAAATAGTATGTAAAAAGCCCAGCCTAAAAGATTGAGCAGAAAATAGAAACATTTGCTATCATGATGTTCTCTTACCTCTTTATAATGCTGAGCTCCATGCGACAAGGATCTGTTTAGAGTGGGTAGGTTTTGTTTGTAGATTGTAGCTGAGAGATTACCTTGACAGCAGCAATTTACATCTGATACAGACTTTGACAGTTTATCCTTTGACCTTCCCCTTCCCACCCCAACATCATTTCTTCTCTTTCCTGGACTTAAAATGCAAGTCCTTAGCATGAAGTATAAGGAAAGGCTACCAGGTAGAAAATGCCTGCTCAGTTTTCCATTTATCTTAATCCAGCCTTTTGGTTTTCCTTTATACTGTGTGGGGGTGGTTTGAGTTTAAAAAAAAAAATCAGCATTTACTCACAGTTACTTTAAAGAAACAGCTGAGAAAACTGTGGATTTCCTCTTACTTAGAAAAGGACAGTATTGATAACTGTGCGTTAGTGCTAACTTTTTAAAACCCCACACTGTGCTTTTTCAAGCCTCTACATTCATTCTACCTCTTTCCTTTCATTAACTTTCTCTGCAACTTATTGCATTTTTACAGAAATTACAACTACAGAAAGGAGAGGCAGAGGTGACCAGCCAGAAGCTCTTACTTACCTAAATATTTGCATTTACTTCAAGTATTAATAAACTAAAAATATTCCATCCTCCCAGCAAAACCAATTCATGCCATACCTACTTCCCCAGATGCTTGTAGATGTAGGCAAGTTTTGCAGCTTTCCCTGACCTGCTGAGCCATTCAATCTCTTTGTCAGAGTGCTGAAAACTGAATTCCAAGGTTGAGGAACTCTTATGTGCACTTCCCTGCCAGTAGCTATGTGCATTTTAAACAAAGGATGCCCCAGATCAAGAGCTCTCATTGGAGTGGAGTGAAATGGAGTGGAGTGGAGTAAGAATTGTGAGTATTCTTACTCACAATAAGCTGGGAAGGAGTAAATTTGTCCCCAGGCGCTGTGTGTTGCTAGACAACTCTGAACAGCTCTTATTCCAAACATCCTAACCATTCCTAAGATCTATACCTATTTATACCACTCCTTCCTGGAGATTTCAGACACATAACACATAACTACTACAACTTTTGTCACTGGCCCTACACTTCCTTTCCATCCTGCTCTGCTGGCTTGGTCCAGCTCACCTTGATTATCTGCAGTCCTAACTCCTGCCACTCAGCACCCCATGGCTCTACTATCCTTACGCTCAAGACGCTCCAAAAAACTTTGGATCGACCTCTGCTCCTGATTTTTCTCCTTCCTAATCCTCAGGACTGGATTCGTCACCCTTTTTTGTTGCTTAGGACTTTCACTGACAACAGTATTCTCTTCCTCTGGTAAAATGACTAGTATTGCACACAGTGGCTAGAGTTGGCAGAGGAGTTACACCAACACAAAATCCTCTTGGCAGAAACTGCTCTGACAAAGTCTGAGTGTCCTAAAGCCAGTTACCACTACTCTCCAACTGGACAATCTAGACTGGAGATTATGTGACGATGAGCACTCTGAAGAATATCCTGAGCCATTGAATCACCTTAGATGGCCTCTGCCGATGGGCATCCTGTAGAGTCCCAGCTGTAATTTGCAGTTTCTACCCCACACCAGCACTCTGAGGAGACTAACTCTCATCATGGGGAGTATGAGGAGGGATTCACATGTTACTCTCTATTTCTCCTTCCACCCCTCCTGCTACACTAGTGGGGATAAATTGCACTTAGTATTGTATATAAGGCTTAATATGAACCTCCTACAGTCAGAAGATCTTCACTTCCATCCCTCTGGTAATACCACGGTGCATGGGAAATAAGCTTTTGTTTGGTATAAACTGCCAACTTGCATAGTGCATAGCTGAAACCTATGTTTTAACTGTGGTGTGAATTGTTGCTGCAAGGCTGATTAGCCAATAACATGGAAGGATTGTATTTCATTTAAAGAATGATTTATTTTAATAATTTTAAATTGCTTATTAGATGCTTCCTACAAAATAGAAACATAATTTATGTAAAACTCCATGGATAACATTAGGCATTAAAAATGCATGGCTACAGGAACCACAGGCAGCCTGGTCTCCAGAACGTTAAAAAAAAAAAGAAAGAAAGAAAGAAAAAAGATAAACCAGGTTACCACAGTGGTTCTTGGCATGGTTTTAAATCACATTCCTAAAGCCACTTTATGCTACTTTCATGGAAGTGGTCTTAAGTCTAGGAAAATGAGACTCATAGGGCATTTATAGATGTGCTCCAGGAGGCCATGGGGGTGCTTTAATTCTCGAGCCATGCTAATTAAAAGCTCCCAAGCGTCATATGTATTAGTGTCTCCAGGCTGAAAAAATGGCAACGGGACACTTTGATCTAGAGCTCACTCAATGAGCTTTAATTTAAAGTGCCCTGCCGCCCTTTTTCAGCTCAGGGACGCTAATACATGCGATGCTGGAGGCTGCTGGGCCGCATTAATTTCTGCACTCTGGCAGACTCGATTGATTCGATGTGCTAGATTTACAGCATATTGGAGCAGCTTCCCTGCATGTGTGCAAGTGCTAATAATGTCTCTATATTGTACACTAGTTTCTAGTCCTAGGCTCTACAGACTGTGAAAAAAAGCAAATGTAGTCAGTCCCTGTTATCTTCAGCCACTGAAATAAATACCAGTAGGAATTTTCCTTGAGTTCAGTGGGATTTGGATCATGTCTAAATACAGTTGCAGCTTACCTAGATACCAATACTAGGAGCAGCATTCTAGAGATGTTTTTAGTGCTTCTCCGATCCAGAAGAAAAGATGCGGTCTTGGAGATAGGTGGATTCCAGACAATTCAGATCACTTAGTGATACCCTTTTGCCCTTAACTGATGCTGTTTTATCCTCTATTTGAGTCTTAAAAGTAACTTGCTACCTCTCCTTTTTTCTCCCTGCAGGATTAAGAGAACGACAGCATGGTGTTAACAGGCAAAAAGCACTGCGAAGCCTTCAGCATAAGAATGCTGCAGAGAGAGAATCGAACTCCATGAAGGTAAAAAAAAATGTACTTGTGCTTCTGTAGTAGTCAGCAGAATGCATTCAGGTTTAAAAAATGATCATCTACTTCCATGCCGGGTGTTAGCATTTGTTTTTGTTTAGTCAGACTCCACTTAGGCAGCAGAAAAGCCAAATAAAGTGATGGCTAAGGTGTTGTGTCTTTTTCCAATATGTTTCATTCATTTTATGAACCATATTCTTGTTGAAAAAAAATAAAATGCATGTTCTTGAGAAAACATTCTTGAAAATATGTTGGGGAGACCAGACCCAGGATATGTAAGCTAAGTAGGTTTTCCAAACTGAGATATACTCATCCTTCAATCTTCTCAAAATAAAGCCTTTTCAGTTCAACAAAATTATCTTTCCTCTTCCATAAGGACAGTCAAGTTTGTGAACTCACAAAAAGAGAGGAGGAACAGCTAGCCAGGTCCAAAAGATCCACTTATATAACAAAAGATGGGAAGGAAGGAAGGAATATGGATAACTAAACTGTAAAAATAAATTACAATGAATGATTCAAAATATTACAGTATGAGGCTTACACTAATCAGACAAGTATTTGTGATTTATCTGTGGACTGTTAAAAAGGGATTTTTATCTGTGTTGCACTTAAGAAATATTTTTTTTCTTTTTTGTTAGCTGCTGGTGTCCACGAGATGCATGCAAAATAAGGCATTTCATAGGACATTTGTCCTCAGTAGTTTCAGAAACTCTGAAGGAGGTGGAGAAGTTTGGAAGCCAGGCAAAGGTCTTAAATCTGTAGGTCAAGGTAAATAAAGTGCAGCACAACATGAAGCAAAGATTGTTGCAAGCCCTGGAAAATAATTAGGAAAGGGAGAACATATGTTCCCTGAGGCTAGGAAATTATTGAATTTAGAGCTACAAACAGCATAGAAGGTGGGAACAATTTCTTTGGCATTCCACTCTGTAAGTAAATTCTTGATCTCTGTATTTAGCTCTCCAAATCTGCTCCCCCTAAAATCCCAATTCAGGGATTATTTAACACTGGGTGTGTCTACACGAGATGCTACATCGCCGTAGTTTGTTGCTTCGGTGCCATAGCATCGGTGGGTACAAACTATAAATGCTGACACTCCATAGTGGTGAGCTACCTCATTATAGTGCGTTACTGTGTCAATATAGCTGCTACAAATAATTATGTGCCATCATTTAGTATTTTCTAATGTAAGTACTATGTGATGGCACAGTAACAACTGAGCTGTGGGGGACATGTGTAGATGAGCCCACGCTGTTTTCTAAAGAGAGCAATAATGTAGCAAACAAGGCAAGACTATGGTGTGATTGTCTTTAGCTTGCATTCTTCTAGTGGGGAACAGTACTCTGAGCCTCACAACCCACATATTTGATAGCAGAAATCTAGCTGAAGACCTGTGACATCAGTGTTCTTGTTCTGAGACTGTAGTCAGCCAAGAAAAGACCCTCCATGGTTATTGTACTAGAAATAATAAATAATATCAATAAAATAAGTATTTAGAGAAAACAGGGATTGGAAAAAGTGAAGGCAAAGACAGAAACATAGGTCATAATCACAAGAGATAGTAACACACATATAATATGGCTCCAGGACCAGTGGCAATAAAAATCAACAAATTCCTCAAGTGAAAATAGCTTCTGGATTGAGTACCTTGCTCCTCCTTCAGGTATAATATTAAAGCTCAGGAAGTATTTTTCCCTTCACAGGTTCAATTTTCCTGTCATTCTGCAAGCTAGTTATATTTATTAATTATGGAATGCTTGATTATTGCCGCACAGATACCATTTTGTTAGATGTGGCATAACGTTTACTGTCTGTCAAACAGAATATCAAATACGATGTACATTTTTAGCAAAGTGCACACTCCTCTGAAAAAAATAAAGGCTCTTCCATCTCTTGGCATGCCCTTTATTTAAAGCAAGAATTAACTGACATAATGCATTCAAAAGTCCTGCAAAATTCACCAGATATTGAAGGTCACTGAACTGGCTGTCTTTTATCAAATCCGGTGCTGCCCAACCTTTGCCCCCATGGGCCAGGTGAGATGTGCAGAGTCAGTTTGCAGACTGGATCTTGTCCTATGGCCTGATCTGACACATGGGGCCATGCCATTAGGCCCACAGAGCTTGGAAATTTGGTGGGAGGGGAAGGGGAAGGTGGGGGAAGAGGGGAAGGAGGAGGGGAGTGGTACTAGTGTTTAATTGCCATCACTTCCAAACCTCCAAATTTCCAGACCCATGGGGGACTCTGTGGGCCAGGTGACATGGCTCCACAGACTGGATGTGGCCCCCATAGACTGGAGATTAAGCACTGCTGATCTAGTCAATGGTAGGAGGATAGATGGCTTCTATAAGTGGGTGACAAAACCACCCTTCCCTTATCATGTGGTCTAAGTAACCTGAGGAAAGGCTATAAGTGAACCATACAATTCTATAGTAATTCCCAACCCAATCTACCAGAAGTTTTTGTTTGTATGTGGATAATATATAATGTGTAATGCCTTACACAATTACAAATTCAAAGGGACAGTGTAGGCAAAATTAAAGTAGCTGGAGTGATGTTGTGAGCAGGTTGATATACCTGCTGCTGTGCAGGTGGGCTTCGTTCCCTTAGGAGTCTTTCAGACAGTCCAAACAATAGTCTACAAGTGGACTTGGATACCTGCAGCCTCACTGTCTAGCTTTGCTTCCTTGGGACTTCCTCAGCTAGTCTTTATAACACAACATAATAGTTCTTGGTCCAAACAAACAAATGAGTAAAGCAAACCTTCAGCCTTTCTGTAGGTAGCAGGAAAGAGCCTTTTAGCTCTAGCCGTTTCTAGAGGTGAGCTCCTCTGGGTTCAGTCTGCTTTCTGTCTGCAACTGCTTTGTCCCTCAGCTCAATCTCCCTGCTCTCTCCCCTTCAGCTAATCACTCACAGCTGGGCTCCTACCCCAGGGCTGGCTGCCCCCCTTAAACAGCCAGACCACCCTGCTACAGGCATGTTGTAGTCAAACTATTTATTTGTGTGGTTTTTCTTATATCCTAAACAAAATGTATATTAACCAGTAATGGGAGTGCCATATACCTTACTCCAAATTATTCATTATTATGGTTTCTAAATGGAATCTTTGTCATGTATATCTAAATGTCTTTTGGTTTAACTATGGACACATGTAGGTGCCTGAATGCTGCTCTATTCAATTCAAATAGTAGGAAAATGTGTCCAAATGTGGGATAGTTCCAATATGCATATATATGCCCCTAAGGAACAGCTGGCAATGATGCTTTCCCCCCACTGTTTATAAAAATTGAATTCTGCTGTATTGCTAACAGTCAATGTTTGGACTAGTTGTTTGAATCTGTACATGACATGGATTGATGATCTCAGGATAGTTCCTAATAGACCATCATGCAACTCAAGTTAGTTGGCTGCCTGGTTGGTGCACACTGAAGAGAAATTAAGGAGGTAAAGAAATTGGTTTCTTGCACCAAGAGGTGGTCAGTCAGGGGAAAGCATTGACAGACAATGGCAATCTAGTTACCTATGCTGTAACACTTTCAGTTATGTTTCTAGGGATTTCAATCTGGCAGGTTTTCATGAACAATAAACAGTGTCAATGAACAACCTACCCCGGTGGGGGCCAATCTTTTTGGCAGGCATACCACAAATTAAGCCCCAAGTTTCCCCAAGTCCCACTCTATCCTCCTTCCCTGGGCTGATCTGCTGCTCTGCTTTCTGCTCCCTGTTCCATTCCCTGACCAATCTTCTGCTTTGATGTCTGTTCTCTCCCCAGTTTGCTGTGTGTCATGCACACATGCCAAAGGTTGTCCATCCCTGACCTAAACCAGTGAGTCCCCCAGACAATCATTCCCTATGAACCTAACCCCACAGAATTTTCTTGGCAGCTTAATGGTAATTTGACTGAGCAAGGACTGGGTGCAAAAAACTTGGGAATCAATTGATGCAGCAAGCAGGGACTGTAACCAAGATGCAGCAGTTTAAGCCATAAACTTGGGACTGTAAACTTAATTGCATGTAGTGAATACACTGTAATATGTCATCTGGGTAATAATTTAGATAGATTTAAACTTCATGCTGATATTGTTAATATAATGGCATAGATTCTGTCACATATGGGGAAATCAGGCATATGATAAAGGGTCATTTTCATGGTCACAAAAGCTAATCTTGGTCACCATCAATCAGTACTATTTGATGCAGCCAAGACATGACTGGTAATTAATTAAATGTATCCAGAGCACTTCTAGGAAATTGTGTGTATTTTTTGTCAGAGAGAACATGGAGAAGTTTTCCCCACGATCATATCTGATGCTTTTGAGAAATAACTCTGACCCAACTCCCACATAAATACGCAGCAGAAAATCACAGCACACCTACATAATTCATTTTGCACTGCATTTTTAGACTGTAAGTTCTTAAAGTATTTAAATATTTCAGCAGATCAGCATGAGACGGCAGGTTGTAATCTAGAATTGACAATTGTCATTGACACATACATTGTTAAACAAACATAGAACCAACTACTCCAACTGAGAGACTCCATTAATCATTTAAACTAATACCTTGAAAATATTTACTTTTTGCACAAAATGGATCAGATTTTTCTCTGGACTTCTACAGACAATTCTGAGTTAATTTTACAAACGTTTCTTTGAAATGGCAAAAGCTGGAATGGGGGGGAAGGGGGGACCTCATGAACAAACCTATCTGATATTTTAAACCCTGAAGGTGAAATAGTTGCATGCATATATTGCAATAGAATATTTTAATAATTTGGATCTCTTTCATTTCCAGGAATCTCTGGCATCACAAAACACAAAAATGATTTCATCCATAGTCATTTCACAGATGATTGATGAGAATAAATCAAAAGAAAATAGGTCTGCTTTGCCTTTGCAGTCTGTGATCACTCAGCCTAATACTTATCATACGAAGCAATCTTTGGCTAATCATGGTTCAGTCAACATTAATAGAGCATTCACATTACATCCCAGCAGATTAGAAATTCAGGCATCTCTAGATGATAGTGTACGCAGAACAGACTCTCACACCAGAGAGGAAAAACAATGTCATAACCAGGAAAACGGATTTGCATCCATAACAATTACTGCTAGACGAGTTGTTCCACCTTCTAACAACACAGTGCAGGAAGCTGCTACTGATTCACCGTGTTTGAAATGCAGGGGAGGCAATCTGCTAATGAATGCTGCTACTACTGCTTCCAACAATGCAGGTTCAGCTCAGCACTGCAGACCTCTGTATAATCAAGGATCTTGTACAAACCAAAATGCCACCAGATTAAAGGTACCTGAAACTTATTCACAATCATGTGAAGGGCATCAAGGCTGGATTTTTAACTCTGAAAGCAAAGAGAATAGAATATTTCCTCCTGGAAGTAATCGAAGGAAAAAAGCACCAGTTTCATTCACTTCATGTATTCACCTCAGAATTTCTCAGCAGTGTCCAAATAGAATCTATTATGTAGACAAGTCACTCTCTGTCTGTATTGACCGACCTCAAATTAAAAGCCAAAAAATTCATAGATCAATATTGTCCTTCAATATAAATTGCAGTTCACCCAGATTAACACCAGATGGAGTAGATGGCATAGCTAATGGAGGGCCAAGAGCTGAGACACTTAAGAGAAAGCTCTCAGAAGAAAACAAGACTCTACTCAGAACATTTTGGACTGCAGATTTAAAAGAAAATACTGCAGATAAAAAAAAAGCAGCAAATAAGGAATGCCTGGGTACTGCATATCCTTGGAAAGGCACACCTCCCTCTGAACTACTATCATTTGTGGATATACCCAAAGGAACTAATAATGTGAAAGCCACAAAAAAAGATGATGATGATGATAAACAGGCTGGTGGCAATCACATAAAATTATCTATCCAAGTTCCTAAGTTGTGTTGTGAGACAGGTGAGTAATTTATATAAACCTGAATGATCGCTGAGATTCAGACTGGAAATAGACCCACCATAACAATATTATACAAGCTGGTAGTAGAAATCTTTGCTTCTGCAGGAATAAATGCATGATGAATCTCAGGGCAAACTACACATTTCAAATTCTAGGACTGTCATGTTTGCCATACCAGTGATGCATGCCTTTCACAGATTATATGGGTGAAGCATGACACATGTTTTCAGGATTAAAATCCCTATTTCTAATACAATATAAATATGTGTTCCAAGGTTCACACAATCTTTTGCTCAAAATTCAACTAGATGTCTGTGTTCAAAGTGTTCAGTTTTAAAATATGAGTCTGAAGAGAAAATGATTTAATTCAGATTGGTTTATGCTCCTTTATGATTCAGAAATTATTTTGTTTCTAACCTCATTTGGAAAGTCACATTAATAGGACTAGACTTCTGGCAGCTGAAAAACAATGACAGTTTCCCAGTGTAAAGGCTGCAGGATTAGCCCCAGAAAACTTTTGCAAGATTTCTTCCAAGTATCTCAAAGCATTTTGCATACAAAATAATCTGCACATTACTGTGGGTTAGGGAAGGGGAAAATACTATAAGGATTTTATACCCACCACTGAGTTGTTATTTTCACTGAAGTGCAATTCAGCAGCTGATTTACAGTGCACTTCAATAACTGCAGCTCACTTTATTGAGCACGTAGGGAGAGAATGCAGATAGGCAGATTACAAGCATACAGGGTTAGAATTTTTTCCTTCTCTTTTGCAAAATACTATGGAATATAGTAATAACCAGCAGTGGTCAGATCTTGGCTGAAGTATTTTTGACATGTACATTGTCTTTGATTGGACAGCCACTCTTTGGGCACTAATTAAGGTCCATTCTACGGAGGCAGACAAGGTTTTTTGGGTAAATCCAATATCTTTTATTAAACCAACTGAAGTAGTTGGAAACATTCTTCTTTGCAAGCTTTCAGGTACAAACACCATTCTTCAGGATGATAAAGCATCTGTAGTTATTCTGTGCTCTTCCTGGATGGGATAGAATAGAATAGAAGCCAGAGGCCAGTATGCAAGAGTGTCAGGCAGGTTATAATGTGCCATAAATCCAATGTCTCTATTTGGTCCATGAGTTTTTGTATCCAGTAAGTTGATGAAGTGAAGTTAGTAGGTTCATCTATGGAAAGTGTTTTGTAAATTCCTTTTGAGGATTAGAACTGGGAGATTGCAGAGAGAGTGGTTTTCTGGTGAGAAATGTGCCCCAACCAGTAACTGGGTATTCTTGTCTCTGCTAGATTTTCAGTCTGGTACATAGTTATTGTTTGGTTTCTCCTACATATTTTCCATCGGGGCATGTGGTGCAAGGGATGAGATATATTACATTTCTGGAGGTGCAGGTGTAAGATCCAGAAATGTTGATAGTTCTGTTGTGTGGTATAGTTATTGTGGGGGGAAGGCGATATCAGCAGGTTTTGCATTTTTTGTCATGGTCTGGATCCATTCAGTGTGTTTTGAGCCATAGGAAGTTTGCTTCTCGTGATGAGGTAGGCGAGGTTTGATGCTTGTTTAAAGGCTAGGACTGGTGGTTCTGGGAAGATCTCTTTAAACATTGGGTCTCGTTCTAGTATGGGTTGCAATTGTGTGAGAATTTTCTGTATAGGTTCCATGGAGGGATGATATGTCATAACTAGTGGTGTGCAATTCATGGGGATTTTCTTTTTGTACTGCAGCAATTCTTCACATGGTATCTGGGTCGCTTTCAAAAGTGCAATCTCTCTCTCTGGAGGAGTGTCCTTGTTGGGTGAAAGCCCTTTTACATTCTACAGATGCAGGGGGGGAAAAAAAGGCACAAAAATCTTAGATTTTCTTCAATCACATAATGACTCATGGACAGAATTCTGGTGGACCTGTTTCCTCTCTCACCTCCTTGTTACACATTCCCGTCTCTGAAATGTTTGATGTAATCTTTATTATTATCAAAGTAAAAAAGTTTAAATTAGAAGATACTTTATTCAATAAAGCTGCTGTTGTATATCCACAATGAGGTCAAGATTCTTAAGGAAGGAGCTACATTTAGGTTCCTGAATACAGGTATGGCCATTAAAATTTGTGGCCAGGTTTTCAGGAGTGCTGAGTGCCCATCATTTTCCAGTGGTTGAGTGTTTAATATACTGTGAGTCTGAATACTCATTATAAACTTGTAAGGATGGCATGGGTTTTTATCATTTGAGGTCAAAGGGAAAATGACAAACAGCTGTGAGGAGGGAAGGGAAATGTGAAGGGAAAGGAAGGACAGTTGGAGGGAGGATGCTCACTGGCTCATGTTATCACCTTAACCCTTTCATTTTTGTGCTTCAGCATAATTCTATATCTGTGCCATTTTCCAGGCAGCTTTAAAGTGACAATGTTCTCTTGGCTTTTTGACAGCCTGATCTGCAAAGCTTGGCTGAACACAGTTCAGACTCTAAATGTAATATACTACAGAAATAATTATCTATAGTACTTTTGGGGATTCTTTTGGGACCACAGATAAAGTGGTTGCCATGAAAAAGTCAGCATTTACTAGACACTGTTAGAAAATTATGTATGAGATCACCACAGTTTCACTCCCTGCACTTAAAAGAAGAAATAACTGATGTAACCTATTGGGAAATGCTACCCTTTTTTAACATCTTCCATCACTTGTATACATAACAATACAAATATGCAAATGTGTGTGGTTCTCTTAAGCACATCTTGTGTAATAGATAACAAGGTGTTTTGTCATCTTATTACAATTTTCCAGTGTGAAATTTGTAAATATAGTTAATATAATGCCTCAAAAGAGCATGGTCTTTCTTGTTAGGTTCTAAAAATTAATGAATTCTCAAATACTTGTCAGCCATTAACTGTGACATATCTTAGGAAACCTAGTAAAATTCATGAGTTATCTACACTGCTCATTAAAATGAAAGGCAATTGGTTTGATTTTTTACTTGTGTGAAAATGAAAGATTGGGCTCTTTTGAGTTCATGGAATCATCAAAATGAGAGATGGAAATGATTTATTAGGTTGACTAATCCATTTCACTGCACGAACAGTATGTTCCTACAGTTTATTATATCTAGGGTTTATCTAGATTAGTTTTAAATGTCTTAAGTAACAAAGCTATAGAGGGAAGCTATTACCTTTCTGCTTCATGATGTGATATCCCTGTGTATATAGCCACAAATTGCAGTATCTTTTTACATGTTGTATCGCATTGCAAGCACAGCCAAATTGCTACCGCTATCAGCTCTGCCTTTTTCACCATTACAATTTTCCAGGTGCCTTGATTTCATTTTGTTTCTATTTTCCCCGCCCCCACTCCACTTGCCCCACAGCTTAAATTTCATGCTGAAGCATCTGAGTACTACTAGAAGTATCTCTGCTGCTAGCGAACAAGAACATCATAATCACAAAAATGCATTCATCCAGCTAACTGGACCTAGAAAACTGCCTAAGTGAGTGTTATCGACTACGAATTTCACACTGTTCTTTTTGGGTCTAGAATATGTAAATCCTTTATTTAGGGCTATCAGCCAAGGCCAGCCAGAAACTCCTATTGGTACAAAGAGTGGCAGCTTGCCTCTTGACGTTCTCAAAATTAATGAGAAGGATTAACAAGATAAAACATATTGTACCAATTTGCTGTTTCTATTAGCTTGGCATTTATTCCTGGGTCCAAAACAGAAAACTGATCCTGATCTCTAAAATCTTTCCTAGGCTGCAATTAGCCTATTGTAATGATGGCCTTTCTGTTCTTGATATTCTGAGATCATTGTGCATGCTGAAGATGAAATCCACCCAAGACTTGACTGAGAACACTGGGAGCTGGAAGCAGTGTGTTTTTAAAAAGTGATTGATCC